CCTCAAGACTTTATTTGAAACACCTTAAGAAGTTTAATAAATCCAATAAAACTCTATCAACAAATAACTTCAGTTCTGGACATTTATGGTTTGATTTCTTTGTATGTATGGATCACTTGGGTTGTTACCGACATCTGGTGAAAATTTCATGTCATTAGCACCTCTAGTAATATATTTACTGAGAAAAATGGTGACATGTTCAATACTTATTTTACCCGCTGTAGATGTAGACATGAAATTAGTTTTTGAATCATTTCTCTTGAGTAATGATTTGTTTAGGTAAAAACATGAAGTGTCCCCAGCACTGAAACACTATTAAATTTACATTCTGAGCCAGTGTCCGACTAATGGAAGTACTGGTTTACTGCTTTCTACCCTTTATTATAGATTAAATTAGGTTTTTTCATATCACGGTATAAAGTGAACCCCTTCGGTAACGATATATATCGCGGTTGAAAATTATCATAAGGTTAAGATAATGCAATTTTCAGAAAARTGTAATCTTAATTAAACCCAACATTGTCTGCTGAACTTATCAGCTGCTGCTCTGCTGCATGCTCATCTTCATCATCAGAGCAGAAGCCGACTTTACATTAGCAACATGGATTTACGACAGAATGCACGTCCACGTCTTTTTTAAATGATCTCTGTGGCTAACAATACATAAAAACATTTTTTTCTCCGACAATTTGGTGTGAAAAACTACAAGTGATAAAGCTTCGCTACGCGCAACGTGCAGCGGGAGGGAGGAGGGAGGGAGGAAATGATCCTGTGAAACGACGTAACTTTTCTACAGCGGGAGGAGGAAATTTTGAGGAATTATTCTCTCTATACGTGTTTTAAAACACTTGAATTTCTTCATTATATTTCGAACTCCTCCTGCTCAGTTGTCTCTGCACTCGCAGCCCTGTTGAAACAGGTGCGATGACGTAATGACGATAGGATGGTAGAGTATAAATTTCTACCGTAGGCCAACTTCATACCGTTTCTACCGTCTACCGCATATACTGCGCAGCCCTAGATTAAATGTTATTACACCTGCTGCATCACATCAATCAGTTTCAGCAAAAGACAAATATATTTTAAATGTACAAATAATCTAAACATCTACAAAGAAAATGATAAGAGAATTTGGAATTTGTTGCCTAATGATTCTAATCATCTGAAAAAATAATATTGAGAAAAAATATGATGGATACTGACAAATAGCTGCAGTATCACTTTTGTTACTGTGGCAAAGTGATAAGACAAAACCATTCCCCAGCCAGCCTCATAAAATGAAGGATATGTTAGACATTGCACAGAGCTGAAGGTCAGTTTTAGTCAATTCTGTGGAAGAGAACATGAAACTGATCACTAGATATTTCATCATCTTAGAGCTTTCAACATACTAGCTTCTCCAAAAAAAACCTATCCCCTATGATTTTTCTAAAAGTTAACTAGCACAATTTTATCTAAAAAAGAAAGAAAGAATTAAAGAAAGTCAGACCAGAGGACTGATTTTAAAAAAAGTTGAACTACCTAATAATGAGATGCTGTTGTAAAATTAATAAGATCCTTCCTCAGTCAGAACTGACCTTTCTCAGTGCTCCCTTTTCCACTGAATGTTTAAAACCTATAACTAAGAGGTGGTTTCAGGGGAAGTTAAGTGGCTGGAAAAATTTCATATTCTTTATTTGTCTAGGGAAAAACACTGAAAACTGTATTGTCTTTTGCCACAGGTCCGTACAATCAGTTATTACTGTATCTCACTGGGCTGCAACTGTCGGAGAACAACATTCTTAAGGGAGTCTCTAAAATATCTCAAAAATATTTACAGGAGATCCAAATATCATTGCTTGAGTCATAGAGGCTTGCAGTTTCATAGCTTCAATTCTGAACATGTTCAAATCATTTGTGACTAATTGCCTTCAAATTTGTCACAGGCAACTCCATCCTGTCTTAAGAATGCCAGAGATTGTTCTAGACGCAAGCATGGGCCAAATCTGCCCATCATCCTTTCAAAAATATACTCCAGTAGATTAAATCATAAACTTGGGGCCGGCTGCCAAGGTAGCTACATATGGGTATGATGTGAGCGATGGGGTGGGCAACAAAAATAATGTGAATGGCCAAGAATGCAGTTTGGTAACCAGGCACATAAAAATATGCAGTGGTTTTCAAAAACTGGGAGCACAGAAAGCAGCAGAACAGCTCGCTGATCTCCAATCTTCAGAATTCAGTGAGATTGCAATTGAACTTTGCTTATTTTCTCGCAATATTGAATCTTGTTTGAGTCACCAACAAGTCTTCAACTAGGAGTGTAATGACTGCAGTTTTCTGGACGATCGCTGATTTAAAAAAAATCTGACCAGCAGATTCTGATTTTTGTCCATCACAAGGAGACAGTGGCTGATTTTCAGACCTTTGTGGAGGTAGATAAAAAGCAGGTAGTTTCTACTGATCTTATCAAAGTATTGGCCMATCTCCGATCTCCCAATATTAAGGAAATCGTGCACCCTTATCTTCAACAGCTGATGAGATACAACCATTAGTTCACAACATTGCAGCTTCATTGGTGAATTTGACTTCAATGTGTAGCTTAAAATTAAATCATTTCATTGTGTGAACAATTTTTCTGAAAATTTGTTGATTTACTTATCCCATGTGTTTTTATGGAAGATAACAAAAAGCCTTGGAAATCTTAGAAAAAACTAATTCCTGAAGKAACTCCAGCCTCTGATATCATATTTAAACATGACATGTTCTCTCTTGTTATTTACCTGTAAGAATATAATCTACCTCTAAGAGTCATTAAATTACAGTCTTTGATTTCCCAAAATACTCACTGCAGAGAGACTGAAAAGGCTCTCACTGGTACGATGTGTCAGCGCTGATGTGCCCGTTAATTTTAGTGTGCAACTGTGTGTGAGGATGTGCTGCCCTACTCATCATCATCACACAGGACTGAAACAGAACAGCCTGGCAGTCCTGACACGTTCGGCGTACATCGTAAACAAGTGGGTTTAGTTGTGGCGTGAGCAGAGTCATCCAGGCAACACGCTGTCCTGCTGACAGGGAATCTATCAAACCCAACCCGACGCAGGGATCCATCTGTAACTAGTGCACAGCTTCATGCACACCATTACTCAGATCTGTAACATAGCTTCAAAGGCAGCCATGGACAGGATAAAAAAAGAGGAAAGTAAAGGCCACAGCTTTTGCATTTGTCATATTGAAATAAATGCAAAAAAGGAAGAAAAACAAAACAACTAAAACCAGTCTCTGAAGCTTTGACAAACATGCAAAGACTATTTCCTCAAAGGCCCCCTCAGAACAGCAGGACAGGAAAATATGCATAAACAGAGGAACAGATGAGCAGGTGATGGCGAGGAGAGGTAATACAAAGGTAAGAGGTAAAGGACAGGCCATTACTGACATGAGCACAGCTGGTAACGCCCCTGCAAATGCTGTGCTGTCAAACACCAATGCCAAATATAAAGTTAAAAAGGTCGTGGTGGAGTACTTTTATGAAAGGATAACATTTGCCTCCATTTTTCCCCCTTTTTCACTCTGTGGACTGGATTATCACTCACTCCTGACAATACTGTGATGCATTATGGGCTTACTGGATACGCAAATGAGATTTATTTAGATTATTTCTTTTTTTTAGGGTGAAAAAAGACGGATGTGTGGGCCAGTCAAAAAGTGCCACTGCTGCAGTGCATTTGTTCTGTTTAGTGAGCGAGATTAATTATCTGGTGAAGGGCTACAATGCCCTCAATCACTCTCTTCATGCTCTCCTCGCCTCCTTCATTTCACCCTGTGAGGGATCTCTGAAGAAATCCCCTGTCATGAAATAAAGCACTTTAAGTTTAGCTGTGAGACGTAACAAATGTTGAAGGGATGTGTTGTGAGTGAAAATGCGAGCTTGTTGTGCATTTATGTCTTTGGGTATAACATCGTTTTACATTATTTTATCAAAGATATTTCAGTTTGTGTAAAACTGGCGTAAAAATGCCCTGAGTCCTTGTCTTACTTGCTCAGCTGCTGACAGGCAAACTGAGCATTAGATAAACAGGATTTAAACACACAAAAAAAAAAAAGATTTACACTCCTGTCATGTCCTTACCGTGCAAAGGTCTTTATACTGCATCTTCTGAAACTTGGTGTCGGCGTTCCCAGCACACAGCTCAACGTATCCCAGCACAACTTGGAACACCGTATTGTGGATGGCCTGGGTGAAGTGCATGTGCAGCTGATCCATAGCAGTCTGCAGAGAGAGAGTGCAAAACAGACCGTTACGAAAAGTGTAACGTCAAGCTGTCGATCASTTTGAYACAAAACTTTAAGCTGAGCTTCATGGAAACACAAATTTAGCACTTGATGTTTTGAAACAGCCTCGGACATGTTGCACAGTAAATGTTAGAATGTGGTTCTGCATCCGCCTCACATGGTTGTTTGCAGTTTAATGGGCTAGTCGCATGGGAAGCGACGTCGCGCTCCTTTAAATGAAACTTGTGCGATGAGGCGACAATTGCTTGTCCTCGTCCAGCCAAACGACCTGCGAAATTTGTTTGTGTGAAATTTCGAGTTCGTAGAAGTGCACACATGGGTTTGCGACTCCACGCAAGTAAGTTGAAAAATGTTAAAAATCAAAAAGAAAAAATAAGTAGGTCCTCTGGATGGGTTCTTCTTTAGTGAAAAGTTTCATCTCTCGTCCAAGAGACTTCTTCAGTCTGATGAGTTTCAGGTGAACTCAGCCTTATAAGCACTGCCTCCACATGGACAAACAAGTTAGTCACATGCAAAAGAGGGCCATCGCCTAACAATAGGCTTGATTAGCTCTATTGTTCATAGAAGGTCATGTGCCCCATCAKCTGACTTATTGGTTTGGATGCTGTGGTTCTTAGGTGTCGTGTTATGTGTATGTAGTGAGTGCAGGCGGGGCTCGATGTTCCCTTGAAAAATGTTCAACATTTGTCACAGTCGCACGYCGCTACAACCAACCAGCGAGGTATTGATTGACTGACCAATGAACGGACAGTATGCTTCACACTGCAGTCACCAACCGCAACATGGGAGAAAACAGCATTTTAGTTGTGTCCAACTTCCATATTTTATACTTTCTTTTGTAGAGTAGACATAACCAATGAAATTCTCTGTACAAGTTGGTGGTGGTAATGTACATCATTCAGTTTTTTTCAAACCACCAATAAAATATACAAGAAGAAGAAACAATCCAATTTCTTGGAGACAAGCCACCCGAGAGAATGATTTGCAAAGCTGCTGCTGCTATTGCATCACACCGGTGGCATTCACTGCCACTTGTTACTAGCTGTGTTTCCATTGCAAATGTGTGCAAAACTTTGTTGATATTCTGTTAATGTCYAAAAACACAGTTTCGCAATTGCAGTGTTTCCATTAAGTAAGAAATGCTATTAAAGTCATGCGTGAATACGCTTGTTCTCGCGATAATTCATTACAAACATGGTGGCAATGGATGTAAACACATAGAATATTGCTACCACGACACGAGCGCTCATCATCAGTGATCAAAGGAGACATTGGTGTCTGATCGAGGCTTTGGAGTGACAAGCCCCTCATACTTGGGAGTGGCTATGTATGCTGCATTTTTGGGAAAATGTAGACGGTGAGTTTAATACTTTCTTTTACTACTTCGGTGATTTCACTACTACTTTTACTTCCTGTTATCTTCTTCTTCTTCATCTTTTCGCCAGTAGAAACAGCCGGTTCTTGATCACCTGACTCCCGTGATGCGAAAAAAAGTGTTTCCGTTGTAGTTTTGCGAAATACATCAATTTCGATATAGCCGAAAAACCACTGCCTCCTGGGGCAAAAACATTTTGTCAAAAAAACTTAACTTTTTTCGAAATTGACGTGTTTCCATTGAGCAAATTTATTTTCGAAATTCTATTTTGTGCATTTTCATGGTCAATGGAAACACAGCTACTGTTGTTTGTCGCTCCCAGTGTGTTGAGCCCTTAAGACGTAGATTGGAACAACCTCAGGTTTTAGTTCTGCATAGATGCAGAAAAAACAGCATTTAAAATGATGTTGAAATGATGAAATTAGCATTTCTTGAAAGAATGCATATGAAGGCTGCATACCAAGGTTCTAAAAAAAGGTTAGTGCTTGGAGTATGTGCTACTACCACAGCAACTTTTAGTTCAATATCTGCAGGACTGACAGTTATAGCTAAAGACAATTSGTGGCCATCTTGAATTGTTTTGTCCAAAAGTGAATCATTTGTGGATGTATATCCAAAGATTACTTTGAGAGTTTTATTCAAATCTATCCAGTAATTCGTAAAATATGACATAATATAACATACATGCAGGAAACAACATATTTACTTGTCTGTCATAGAGGCAAGCGATAAGTAAGATTGCTCATTTATTGCAGATGTTTTATGTGTTTCTGCAGGGCTTCTATTTTTAGTTTTCATGCTTTTTGTGACGAGTCTGTGGTTGTTGGTCCTTAACTGGCTTTCAGTCAATAAGCATTCATGTGGMAGAGGAATGCGTAGGTTGAATATTGTTCCATGTTAGCTTTTTGAACATACTTGTGCAAGTCATTCTATCTGAATACTTACAATCCTCAAGTCTGCATAGAAAGGCTGAGTTTGAATGAAAGCAGTATTTATGTGCAGCTGTAACTGCTTTAAAAGCTTTTTGCTTTGTTCCACTGGCATTATTTGTCACAGATGGAATATCTTTAGCCTTTACATTAGAACTATTTATACAAGACATGGAAAARGGTAATAATTCTGACATATTCAAAACATTACCTGACCCTGTCTTCACATTCAGTATAAGCAGTAAATAGCCACAAACCAAAGGACAAAGGTGATTTTTTCTTTGCAGTAATGATAGGATGATCATATTTCCATAGAACACCATGTTTAAATAAGTTGATTTATTATCCAAAGCAYATGCTGCAGGTTGTTTACATCATGAGTTACTATGGTGATATTTAGCAGTGACACTATCTGACARTGAAAAACAAGCAGACTTGATGCATGTTCTGTTTTGCTCCTTTTTTTTGATTACAGAAAACACTGAGGCGCTACACTGTTGAACAACGAATACCTATAAATTTAGTCTTGTCTGCATTTGGTTCTGAACAGGAAACACAGCATCTTTTGCTCCAAACTCAGAGCAAATGTGCATCCCCASACTGTACTTTCAGTGTTGAAACAATTGCTGGATTCTTTATTTTTTTTATAGAAAATATTTCATTAATCTTAAAAATAAACCATCCCCCCCACCTATTTACACTCTCCCTGCTAACACTTAACGAGGACATGAGAGATACAAGAGACATGGGAACAGTATGGAGCAGTGCCAGTAAGTGGTGTTAAAGCATAATTAGATTTTTTTTTTAACCGCAAGTTCTTGACCATGAAATATTCTCTCCGATTCATTTCACTTCTCTGATGCAACAGAAGWGGTTCAAACTTTTTTTGCTCTTAATTTTAAAGGGACTTTCACCTCATTTGAACTWAAAACAGAATGGGAATCATTTCTTACTAAAAATTACTAAAAATAGCAACTAAACAAAGTGAAGGAAGCTGAAATTAGCACCAAGAAGTTAAAAGCAGAATCAGAACAAAAGGTGAAAAGTGCAAGAAAAATGTAACTATATGCTGAAGACAACTCCATTCATTTTCAATGAGAACAAAATGGCTGGAAAAGCTAGATGTCTTAAAAGGTTTAAATTGCTCAAATAGCAAAAGTCATAGCTGYAAAGCAATGAAGGGGATGAAAGTTTGATATAGGAATTCTTGAAATAGCACTAAAATTGTGAAATAAGACATGTYCCAAGAAAGGTGCAGAGGAAAAATGGATCATCTCAATAGTTTGAATGCTTAATAGRATTCACACAATAAACCTAATCTCAGCAACCAGTCTACAAAAACAATTATATTAAACTGCACAGGCATTTAGAGTGATTATTCTGCAGGTTCTTAATACTAAAACAGGCAACTGGAAAGTCAAAAGAATATAAAAAAAAAGAATATCACAGCAAATAAAAAGGTTTTGTGAAGGTGGGACAGTGTCTATTTGTCTGAATCTAACCTAAATGTATCAAACAAAAAGTGGTCTATAAAGTGTACGCACACAAATAACACTTCATGTGGGATACTGCAGCAGAAACGAGGTCCAGACTAAGAAAAACAACTCAACGTGACACACATGAATGTCAAGAGGGTGTAACAAACAAACTCAAACAACAAGCACTTCAGGAAAATGGCAATGCACAATCGAACTCTTCACATACATTTGTGTCTGAAAAGGCTCTTCGTCCCAGCAATAACAACAACAACAAAAAAAATCCATTCTCAACGAGCCTAAATGACGCAGTCTGCACCTCAAGGATGCCTCCTGATGTCGAGAGGCATGCTGAGTATTCACTGACATCATCACTGGCGCAAGTTGTAACTACTAGATAAATAATCACCTCCCTGTTATTAAGCTGAGGTGGATAAGATCCTCTTTGATTTCATATTCCTGCGTTAATCAGGCAAATAGCACAAACCAGACTAACGCTGTCAAGTGGAGCAGAGGATGTACGATCATTTTATATAATAGCTGCTCCACTGCTTCAGATAAATGTTGGTTGGTAAATAATACTGAAGAAAATAATATGTTTAAATAAACTAGAAATACCAGAGAAGGCTTCTGAAATGCACCTGTCATTATTGAATGTCACAGTAATAAAACAATAATTCACGACACTTCAAAAACCATATCTAGTAACCAACAACCAAAATAAACTCATATGTCTGTCCACTAATGAGATTTCTAAGATTTTTGACAGTCTGTTGTTTGGTGTTGCTCTAATTACAAGGTGTCTCTGATAAATACAAAGTGCTTATTTAAATATGTATTAACATCAATAAAATATGACAGAATTTCTGCCGTATAATGTTGTAAACTGAGTTAATCTGGAAGACAAAATGTCTCAGAACTGTTCCATCTGTCTTAGACTGTGTTGTCTTTTCTTGTTTCAATTGCAGATTTGGACTTTAGCGTGGGGAAGATTTTCAACACCTGATCCTGCATCGGCCGTTTAGTTTCTTTGTAAATACTTTTAATCTGTTTGTTTCAGTTATTACTCTTTTGTGATATTCTGCAATTCTAGAAAAAATAAAATATATATACAATATTAATACTGGAATTTAATGTACTTAATCATCAACTAGGTTGTTAAAAAAGCGAGTAAATGTTTTTAAAGTAATAATTTTCCCAAAGTACTTGAAGCTTGGCATGAACTCCAAATCTGGGACTACTGATCTACACCATTTAATTCAATTAGTCTTAGAAATTAATACAAACAATAAAACAAACAGTCATAAAAAGGTTAGCACTAAAAGGCACRGTTTAACCAGTAAAATTGCTATTATCAGTAAAAAATACATTTTAAATAAAAGCTTCATTATAAAATGTTTGTGCCTTCATCACTTTTGTTGTTCTGACATTTGAAATGCTTTTCGGGAATTTTTCAGGCATTATTTAGAGAATTCAGTTTTGGCTGACAGATAACTGACAGTAAAAAATAAATATGTTGGCATTAAAAATGATGCCATGGATTCTGTGTGGTTGTTTTCGTTCAAAGAGCCTGAAATATTCTTACAGGAAATGAGATGAAACATGCTGTTGAGAAAAGAAAGACATCTGTGCGCCTTGGGCTGTAATGGTTTTAAAATCTAACAATTCTCAAAAAATAACATTGAGCAACTACATTTCARGGGTTTTCTCAACTGACTTGCACAAAGTCCGTATTATATAATTTTTCACAAAGAATAATAGCAAAAAAAGTGTGACTTTGTGGAATAAGGACAATTATCTAAATTATGCAGACATGATCAAAAATATCTCAAATAACTTAAATTACAACGGTAATGCTTTATTGTGACAGGGTTAATGGTGCTAAAAGTGCATGATAATTACAGAAGCACTTAGAGAATGAAAACCTCTGCCTGGGGCAGCAGTTCACCTGTGAGATGGATAACTGATATGTCTCTGCAAAGAGCACAGGAGCTGCAAGAATGAATTAAAACGGGGTTCAAACAGCAATAGCAAATGTAGATTTAAGCCATGAAAGCATTCCTGATTCACAAAATCTACATAAAAAACCTTTCAGGCTTTGTTTGAATATGATCTTGTTTGAATATGATCTTAGTTAATTAAAAACAGTGTGTGTGTGTGGGGGTGGTAAACATTGCTTTAAATAAACAAATATGGAAATAAAGGTGTTATTTCAAACAAAATTCAGTAAATCATTTGGCAGATGAAGCAAAAAGGCTACAACGCCATTTAATTTAACTAGTTAGGAACCATTTTGACCTGTTAGTAATTGTTATGTAAACTATGGAGCCCATCTCGTGACAATGGCTTGAAAAACAAATAATGCGTGGCCACATGCATTATTTGTTTTTCAATCCAATAATGCGTGGCCACATGTTCTTTAATGCATGCGAGTCCATGTTAACAATAAACAGTCTCTGCATGGAACTGACTACAGTAATTATCTCGTGGTCACAAGCTGTTTTCTTGTGGTCACACTTTTTTTTTAAATAAAATGTCACCGGTCGGGCTCCGCATAATTTTACTCAAACCGTCCTGAAATTTAAAAAYTAAATAAATAAAAATGTTTCTGATGATGCTAATGAAAAAGCAACTGATTATTTCTATGATATGTTTGTCTGCAGACTTCAACCTAACTTTGTATGACAAATTTTTGGTTACTCCGATTTAGAAGCTAAACGATTGTGGAGGTGTTGGTTACTGACTTAATTACAATGCAAATCAGTTGAACATACTAAAACAATTTAATAAGAGCAACTGATTTAAAGATATTGTCACAATGTGTTCTATAAACTGCAGGCATTTTTTCTCCCAAATAAGACAAACAGACGTGAGAACTTTTGCAGCAACTGAAGTCATACAGCGGGTAAAATAAGTATTGAACACGTCACCATTTTTCTCAGTAAATACATCACTAGAGGTGCTAATGACATGAAATTTTCACCAGATGTCGGTAACAACCCAAGTGATCCATACATACAAAGAAATCAAACCATAAATGTCCAGAAATGAAGTTATTTGGGTTGTTACTGACATCTGGTGAAAATTTCATGTCATTAGCACCTCTAGTAACATATTTACTAAGAAAAATGGTGACGTGTTCAATACTTATTTTACCCGCTGTATTCATTAACATTTAAAAAAATAAAATGTCTGAAAATCAAGTAACGAACACTACTTGTTCTAAATATGGAGTGAACACATAAAACCTGACAAACTTAAGGCTTAAAGTAAAATAAAAATCCTGAGCCTGAAATGTTTTTGTGGTGATGATAGGAATGAAGTCATAACCTATTTTTACTCTGAGAATCTGTTCAAAAATCCACACTTTAAATCAGTGGTTCTTAACCATTTTTGAAGTACCGAACCCACCAGTTTCATATACGCATTCAGTGAACCCCTCTTTAGTGATAAAAAATATGATTTTTTTTTCCAAATTCAAGACATAGATATATGTTTTTTTACAGGTGTACAAAATGAGCCGTGCATGAA